CAAACATGTATGTTACCCCATCTCGGACAGCGGCCAGGTTTCTGGTTTTACCACAGGTATGACACAATTCAGGAAGCTACAGTTGCGTCGCTCTGCCATTCCCATAGCCCATCTTCCGTTGGGAAACCAATGCTATTTCTGCAGAACAACCCTGGCTCTGCTCAGGGAAGGTCTTGCTGCAGACACACCGGCCGTTCTGTTTCCCGTCCAGGTGGGTTCCAGAGGCCTGCAGGGGAGGTGAAGGAGACAGCCCAGGTTTATTCCAGTATTTGGTGAAGTCATTGGCAGTTGCTTTTTAAAATCCTCTTTTGCTGTTGTAGAGAATTTTAGCTATTTTTACCACACATTTGTCTTGATTTTATACCTCTTTTCTATGGATGCCATACATGAGGCTGTAGTGATTCTAAAACTGTGAGCAGAGTGTGAGGGGGGCGGGGCGGGGAGGTACAAAATATGAGCCTCAGTCCCTTGCTCCTGCTTTCCAAATCACTCACAATTTTGCATCTTTAAAGCTGGCCCTTGCAGCTTTGTAAATACAACTTGGTGAAAGATCTCATCAAAGTCCATAATATCGACTAGATCTAACCTAATGGCATAGTTAATGACACCCTGCAATGTCAAAATAGATGTTTCAATTATATGTCCTTGACCTTCACTCTAAGGATAATTTGTGGGGCAATTTTTCAGTCCTTAGGGAGTGATAGGGACACCCCTCATTACATCATAAAATTAGAATGCATCCCCCATCCAATATCAAGGCACTGTAACTGAGAATTAACATTAATACAATTTTTGAAAACTTGCATCTAGTTTCTGGTGATTGAAAGATGCATAAATTCATCACTTTATTATTATTTTGTATCTCAACGCTTTGCCTTCCTCTTGCCTTTCTGAAGTTCAATTAAATTATCATAGTCTTGCTGTGATCCTGGTGTGGATGGCATTTCATAATCGGTATTTCCTAAATGGTCGCAGCTACATGATGATTTCTCTTCCTTTGCATATTTTGACCTTGGGTTTCTTTTTGACAAGGAACTCTCAGGATTAAACCATGCTGATCTGGAAATGAGTTCCAGAACTTTTGCTCTAGGAATTGGGCATGCATGGAAGCTCTTCTCAATCTAAAAACTGGCTGGGCTTACTGGAGTCATTGATAGTTGTAGATAAATATATCCGACAGGTGCCAGGTCAGGGCATGCTGATATATGGTGCCCAGCTTGATGGTGCCTCTTGGTGTTTCCAGGTGGAGGCTCATAACAGAATCAGTCGAAAGACATTGAATAGCTATTTGGAGCTTTTTCTTCTTCACTGACTCGCTTTTGCTGGGAAAACGCATAGAGGCATTATTGTGGAAACACAGGAGAGCTACAAACAGAAGGCCATACAATTTGTAAACTCCTCCAAATGCAGCAGGGCAACCTGTGATGGCTGCTTCACCTGGACATCTCTAGACCCAATTTCCTACTACACTGAAATATTACCCTAAAATTTCAGCCTAAAACCTCGGAAAACAAGAAACAAGACATTTAGACATCTCTGTAGCAGAAGACTAAAGGGTAAAGCAATGGACATGATCCGGCCAAAGCATGTGGGGGCACAGATAGGAAGGTACTTTGGAGAGCTTTGCAGTCAAATCAGCGGGCTCAACCTGCAATTCCTAGGGCCCCTTATGCTCTCCAAGGTTGCAGACGGAGGTCTTCCCCAGTCTTGCTGGCTGAGGGTTCAACTCGCAGCATCCTGTTGGTGGCAGAATGACCAGCACAGTCTCCTGTGACACCCCCAAAGCTCAGATGAATATACATAAAGGAGGGTGGTACCCTGACCCCAAGCTGTTTGGAGCTTTATATGTCAAGAACAGAGCCCTAAACAAGGCTTGCTAGGTTGCTGCTAATCAGTTGAGCAGAACATGCAGCAGAGTCCAACCTAAGAGGTTTGTGGTCAGGTAAACCTGCAAATTACGCCCTTAGGCTATTTCTTGTTAGGCTCGTCTGATTGATTCATTTGGAGAAGGCCCTTTAAGCTTTAGAAAAAAGGGTTTAAATGATATATTGCATGTAGTCCATGTAATGCTATGAGTTATACATACTGACAGATGAAATCAATTCCTTTTTTGAAAATTAAATATTTTTACTAGATTTCATCATTAAAATGCACACTCAACAACATTAATAAGGGTAATCCATCAAGCCATTCATCAATGGGTAGTGAATTTCCCTCCAGGGAGTATTTCATGATTCAAGAGGTATCTTTCCACGGAGATCCACAGAAGTTTGCAACTGTCACTGTCTTGTAGTCTTTTTATTTCCATAGTTAACAAAAGCGTATCATTCACTGTGTTGCTGGCTCAAAAGAGGAAAGGGTTAAGTTTTATTTTGCATTTGAAAGAACGAAATCAGACACTTTTTCTTAAAGAATGCTTAGTTTTGTTGATATTAGTACACAACTTGTAATTTGCGCGCCCGACTCAGGTGCTTTCCCACTTTTGAAGGGTTTAAGTGTTTAGCAGATGCTGCCCTAGAGCAATTAAATGCTTGTTGTACCTAGTTGTGCTGTTCTAAATTATATACATTACACAATGTGTTTCTAGAAGGCTGGAAGCCCTAGCCAACTCGTGGAGCTGCACTGACTAGCAGTAAGACTTTTTCTGGAGTGTGCCTTTTCGAAGGGCAGAAAGGGAAATGCATGCTTAAAGCTCCCACCAACAAAAGGAACCCACACCTTTCCTATAGAAAACCGGCAAGTCTCTCTCCTGCAACCAATTTCAGACATCCATTTTCTTCTTGTCAGCTTTCTTCACTGTCCGACTTTCACATGCATAAGTACCAATCCGGAATACAGCACTGTGGATGATCTTCAACTTGGTCTCACCTTTAACTTGATGATCTTTTCTAGATCCTTTGTCGCTGCTCCTCCAAGTCTCCACCTTCTTCAGATTTCTTGGCTGTTGTCTCCACTGAGTCGACAACTGAGCTGCAGCTCTGCTTTGGCATGTTCCTCTTTTGCTTCCACCAGGTGTCGTTTCAGCATCATCTGCATATCTTAAATGTTTTGCAGTATCTTCCACCCAAGTTTCTCTCTTTCTTTCTCTGACCACAATCCAGTTTCTATGTTCTACATACAGATTGAAGGGATGGGGAGGTAAAATACATTCTTGTCTGACACCTTTGCCTCTAGGAAACCGCTTTGCTTCTCCGTATTCTGTCCTAACTGCTCCTTCTTGTCTACGAAGCAGGTTATTCATCAGGATGATTGTTGCTTCCATCCTTAAGGTTCTCATGGTCCGCACAGTCAAAGACTTTGCTGTAGTATATAAACCATAGACCGATATGAACTTTTTTGGTGCGCTTCCATGCATCCACAAATGTGATATAGGCCGCCATGGCCTGACAATGTTCTGTTCCATTCCACATGGGGGAAACAGGCGGGCCTTGGATATGCGGGCCTTGGATATGGTGAAAGCATGGTTTATCACACTACTTGTGTTAATCTCTGTGTAATGCCAGTGCTGTTATTACTCAGTGCAACTCCTTCCCACTTTCTCTTGAAACTGGGGCACTGCTGTTGTGGGAAGCAGCAGTAGTATGGATTTCTTCCTTGAGGTCTGGAAATTTCGATGTTATCCCAGCAGAGTTGGGGTCTTATTCCTTGTGTCTCTTAGGAAATACCAAGCCCTGTCTGTCCCTGTAACAGAATCAGGTAGACAATTTTAAAGGTGGCACCATCATATTAATACAGTTATATCCCATCTTTTTTCCTCTTGCACGTTATGCAAGGTGACTTACATAATCCCTCCTTGCTTTTATCTTCACAACAACCCTGTGAGGTAGGATAGACTCAGTGATTGGCCCAAAGTCACCCACTGAGCTACATGGATGAGAAGGGACCAGAGTCCTGATTTCCACAGTCCCAGTCCAATACTCTATCCACTATACAGCACTGTCTTTCACTGGAAAAATAGACTGTATCCATCCAGATTGCAAGGGAGGATGGCATCCTTCTCAGAGCCAGTGTGCCGTGGTGGTGAGCGTTGGACTGGGGTTCCACTCTCCCCTCAACTATGACTTTCATTGGGTCACTTCTGTTCAGCCTAACCTACCTCACAGGGTTGTTGTGAGGGTAAAACAAGCTGGGTAGCCAGTTTGGGTTCCTCCCAAGAGGAAAAAAGCTGGGATAGAAATGCAAGGTAATAATAATTCTGAATGCTCTCCTGCTGTCGAACACTTCCCACAAAGAAAGATGCAGCCAAGCCGGGAAGTCGGAGCTTCTCCGTGGCGTGATAATGTGCTATTTGCAGGACGTCTGATAGATGGGAAAGCTGCTTCTTTTTTTAATAGCGCATTTGTCCACACTAACGGGATTCTATCGCTCATTTTACTGCACGTGGAAACCCGGCATCGGAACGGGTCGTGGGATTCTGGACTGTACCACTCCAGATGCCGCGGGAGGAACAGCCTTGCGGGACGCTCCCGCGCGTCCAGACCGAACAAACATCCTGCCTGGAAGGAGCTACCAAGGAGGGGGAGCGATCCAGCGCAACTCCCTCTTCCTGCGCATTCCCACCCGGGCTCTCCCCGCTGCGCCGCCAGACGGCACAGTCCGGTCTGTCGCGCGGGACTGTACCACTTCTGCGGGCGCTCCCGCGGAGACCGGCGCAGCGCGGAGGGCCGCCTCTCCCGCGAGGGAGGAGTTCCGCCCTGGAAGGCTTCTCCTGTCACCGGGACATGCGTAGGGGAGCGCGGCTTGCAGCCAGCCCGGTCGCTCCCGCGCCTTGCCCATTTATTTCCCCTCCGCGGCCGCCTTTCTTCTCTGCTCCAGCGCCGCCGCCGCCGCGCGTCCCGCCCCTTCCTCGCTCCGAGCCCGCCTCTCGCTCCCCGGAGAGGCCGCCCCGCGCCCGCCCGAGCTGCCGCCGCCTGCCTGCCTGCCTGCCTGCCAGCTCGCGGACGGGCAGATCCACACGGTCCCTTCCTTCGCGCCCGGAGCCGCCGCTGCAGGAGAGCGCCAGCGCCAGCGCCAGCCGGGAGCTGCGGCGCGCCGGGCGCCCCTCGCAAGCCCCGAGGGCGCGCGCGCGCAGCCCCGCCGGGAGCGGGGACACACCAGGCCGGCCGGCCGTCGGTGGTGGGGCTGCCAAGGTGAGTGCGCTGCCCGGGAAGCCTTCCCGCGCCCCCGCGCCCTTGCTTGCACGCGCGCGCCCGCGCGCCCCGGCAATCCCCCCCCCCCGTCCGTGGAGAGGGAAGGCCTGCGAAAAGACGGAGCTGGGGGGAGGACTCCGCAGCTGATGCTGGCGCGGCGGGGGAGGGAGGCGACGGGAGGGGGGATCGCCGCGCCCGCCGCCGCCTTCGACCACGGCGAGGCCTGGCCCTGGCCCTGGCCCTGGCCGTGCCGTGCCGTGCCGCGCCGCGCCGGGCTTCGCTTCTCGTTGCGCGCTGCCGCTTGCAGAGGCTGCGAGCGCGGCGCCGCGCCGGCCGGGCAATCCGCCCCTCGCCAAGTTTCCCGGGCGATCCTCCGTCCTGCTTCTCGGAGGAGCGTGTGCTTGTGTAGGTGCGTGCAGAGGATCGGAGCCTCCGGGGCTGGGTGCGCTCTGCCTCTTCTCTGGCCCGTTCATGGAGCCTTTTCGTGCTGGCTCGCCCCGGTAGGTCATCCTTCGTGCCCCTCGCTAGGGAAGCGCAGGTCGGCCGGCTGGCTCGGGCGATCACGGAAGGGTTGTGTGTTGTGATGATTGTGCAGCTTACCAAGCGCTTCTGGCTGGTTTCCGCGGATTCCAAGGGAGAGAGCAATTGGATGGATTTCTGTGCAATTTTTGCTCCGCATCTCGGAATCCAGACAGTCTGATTCTTTGATGCATACATCCCAAAGCTAAATGCATCGCAAAATATTCCAGTCGTGTGGCTGTCTGCGGTGGTGAAGGGGATAACGAAGTTGGAAATTAACACACTCTTGCTCTTGTTTTTTTTTATTCCTGGTTGCGGAAGTTAAACAGTGCAGATAATGCTTTGGAGGTTCCCCTTTGGGAATAATTGGCTGGAGCGAGTAACTTCTGCCATGGCCTTGAAATCTTATTCGCTCCCCCGCCTCCGCCACTGCCTGCTTTGCACCTCCTGCCTGAACAAAAACGGCATTTCAACATGCAGAGAGTGTCAGCGCGAACCTTTACACCATCTCTGACTTAATTGTAGATGTCGGACTGAGCTTACCCTGACGTGATGGTGGCTGCCGTAAACACTTGGCGAGGACGCATTTTTTCGCTCCCTCCCAGGAAGGGCAGAGGAAATCTTGCTTGTTTACAGAACGCATCCAGGAGTTCTCATGCCGTCCCCTTGGTCAGCCTCCTAAATTAAAAATATGCACATTCTGCTCTTTTGAGGAGCATCAGAAAATCCTTTTGGGTTCTTGCAGGCTGGGGAAAATGGTGGCTTATCACTTTTATCTCCAGCACCAGGAGATGAGCTGACTTGTTTGTGTCACTGCTTTTTGAAAAAGATCAATTAGGTCTGGATCTCTTCTATTTCTGCCCTCCCTCCCTCTCCTGGCAGGTTTCCTACAGAGGCTTGGGCATTTCGGGCTCTCCTGCTCAAGGGTTTAATAGCTGTTGCATGCTCCTTCTGGATGCAGGGTGACAATATTCAGAGAATGGAAGGGCCGGTTCATGTATACATGCCTATTTCTCAGGAACATAGAAAACAGAGCGAGTCAGAAGGGGCCTCCTGCGCCATCTAGACTGACCCTCTGCTCCAGCCGGCTCCATGTGCATGTGCACCTATCCTTGAACACCCGCACCGATGGGGCCTCAATGGCCTCTCGTGGAAGCCCATTCCACACCCTCGGGGTCCTGACTGTCAGAAAGTGCTTCCTGGCATCCAAGTTGAACCTTGGCTCCCTGAGCTTTGCTCCGTTGGAGTGTGTCCTGCCTTCCTCTGCAGGGGCAAACATGCATGCAGATAAGTCATTCACAGATTAGACCCTGCTGTCTGGGCATCCATATTTCCTGATGTTGACATGAGCTCGACTGCAATGCATTTGGAGGAGAATCAGGGCCCATGTTCATCTGGGGATTCATCAAAATCTGAGAAGTCAAGTGGCATCCATGCAGGGTTGGAGGGACCAAATGGATCATCTGGTCTATGCCACAGTTCCCAAGGGTGGAATCTTATAGGTCAATAATTCCCAGCACATATTTGCCCATTTAAAACACAAAAGCTTCCTTTGCGGAGGGAAATTCTCCCAGCATCCCATCGTTCCACAGCTGGTTCCCATAGTGAGCGGCTCTTACAGTTAGTGACACTTCTAAATTAGCTCCCCTGTAATTTAAAACATGCCATGGAGGAGGCTCTTCTTTCTAGGCTCCCTATTAATTTTATCAGTGGTATTAATTGATCCTTGTTATTGGATGTTACTGTATGAGATCTTGTTGTCTAAGCTGCCTCGGGACAACCTGCATTCTTACTAAATTATGATTTGGAAATGGGTGTTACTCCTCATGCTGTTGCTCTTTTTTGGAAGCTAAGCTTAGGAAGGAGGGAAGGAAGGTACTGGATAGGATTTGTCTTTCAGATCCCAACTGGAAAGACTATTCCAGCATCTAGGAGTCAGCATTATTCTTTAGCGGATATATTCATGAGACTTCCCTGAATGTTCCTTGAGCAAAAACATTGGGCTAGCCCACCTGTCTCAATAATTCGTGGCCTGAAATGCAAGATACCCGCCCACCCCCATAAAGCTGTTTTGCTGGGTTGCTTGGACAGTAATTGTACTCACTGCAGGCCACTAGACAAATAGCAATGTTATAAGCCTGTCTTTTGAGACCATGTTAGTGCTCCTTTACCTGTAGGCAGTTGTAATATTCCCAGGTAAGAAAAGCAACCTGGGGACCATTGACTGTCCTAACAGGTCAGCGCAAGTACTGTTTACCAAGGGAGAGCTGACCATTCATGGAGGTATCTAGGTAGAAACACACATAATACAATAGCCAGTATGCTGTAGAGGAGGTAATTTGGTAATTCTTGCAGTATCCTTTTAATCCCTTAGTGTGTTGGTACTGATATAACTTTAAAAATATTTAATAGCATCACAGTTTCAAGAGTATCAGAAAGTTGACATGTCAACAAATTTTGTTTCTTGGACTCTGCTTACCTTGGGAGGTGTGTTATTGCTGTGATTAGTTTGTTGCAATGGTTGAAAACAGAGGTGAGCTGTCAGAAATTGCACCTGTATTGTGGGTTCTGGAAGGGGGAAGATCCAAGTGCTGGTGTTGTTAAAAGTTGTAATTGACAGGTATGTTGCCAAGGATAGAATAGCAGCCTGCTGGGTGATGTGACGCCAAGATTATGACTTCTGTTTTTCTGCATGCCATTGTTTATTTTGGAAATCCGTCTTAGGTTCCTGGCATAACAAGCCATGTTACAGTGGCGGCAGAACGCAGCAGGGGGTGTGTTTTATTGTGCAATAAGACTGGGTGGCTGAAAACCATTCGTCTTCACTTTGTGTCTTGCAACCGGCTTGGGGTTTGCTGTCGCGAGAGGGCATCTCTGTGCCCTGTTGCAACGCACCGTGCTTTGCAACATCGGCCTGGCGGCAGATGCGCTTGAACTTTGCTTTTGCTTTGCAGCACTCTTTTTCCTGTTGCTCAGAGGACCTGCAAAGCATGGGGTTGCCGAAAACTGAGCACCATTTGCGAGAAGAGCAGACTGGTTGTTGCGTGGGGGCTCGCTGCCAGAATTTTGGGCTGCTTAGCTCAACGTCTGGAAGTGAACGTCAGCCTAACACAGCTACTGACAGAGCTCTTTTGCAGGAAGATACTGTGCCTGGACGTTCTGCTGTGCAAATTAAGTCGATCTGTGTTGTAAAATGTTCAGTTCCCGCTGGACCATGTTTTGATGTCCAGGAGAGTGAAATTTAGCAAGTTTGTTTTACTTATATTTGGTAAACAAAACTGGAAACAAAGCAACATTAAATGTTTGTTTGAACGTGGTACATCACATGTATTTAACTTGAGGGGTGGAAAGATGGAAACAGCACAATCTTTGGCCAGCTGCTTCTCCAAGGTTATAAGAATGACTTCAGAAAAGGCTTTAGAGGGTATTCCAAGGGGTGGGGATGGGATGAGACCAACACCGCCAAATTCCTGGCCGCATATCAGCCTCCTTTCCTCCTACTCTGAGGTGCCAGATTTTCGTTGCCTAAGCACTTTGCAAAGAAGTGCATTTATGCATTCCGTTTGCACAGGATGCCCGGATATTCTCATAGGATTCTTCCTTTAATGTGACTTCAGTGTAGACTTTTTATTGGAATACTTAATACTCTTCAGAGCCTTACATGGCTCAGGGCCAGGTTGCCTGAAGGATTGTCTCTTTCAAAATATACCTGTCCACACCATAAGATCATCTTCAGGGGTCTTTCTGGAGGAGACCCTGCCAAGGGAAGTCAGGTGTGTGCTTATGAGGAAGAGGGCCTTTCCTGATGTGGTACCCGGATCTTTCCAAGGAAGCTTGCCTGACACCTACACTGACCTCTTTCTGGCATCTTTCCCAGGAATTCTCCCAGGAATTTGAGTTTCACACTATTTTAAAAGCTGCACTGCACTTTAAATCTTGGTACTACTGCTAAACTTTAGTCTAGCTTTCACTTTTATTTCATACCGTTTTAATTTTTAGACTGTATTTTATGTTTTGAATGGTGGTGAACCATCCAGAGAGCCTATATAAAAATGTAATAAATTGTTGTTGTTAGTCGCGAAGTCGTGTACGACCCATTGCGACCCCATGGACAACATTCCTCCAGGCCTTCCTGTCCTCCACCATCCCCCGGAGTCCACTTAAGCTCACACCAACTGCCTCAGTGACTCCATCCAGCCACCTCATCCTCTGCCGCCCCCTTCTTCTTTTGCCATCTATTGTTCCCAGCGTTAGGCTCTTCTCCAGGGTGTCCTTCCTTCCCATTAGGTGGCCAAAGTATTTGAGTTTCATCTTCAGGATCTGGCCTTCTGAAGAGCAGTCAGGGTTGATCTCCTCTAGGACTGACCGGTTTGATCGCCTTGCAGTCCAAGGGACTCACAGGAGTCTCCTCCAGCACCACAATTCAAAGGCCTCAATTCTTCGGCGCTCAGCCTTCCTTATGGTCCAGCTTTCACAGCCAT